AAATAAAAAAAGAAATTAAGGGAATTTGTTAAAACCAGACTAAGCTTACAAGAGATGCTAAAGGGAGCCCTTTGGACAGAGAAGCAACAACAGCCAACAACAACTGACCATTAACACACATGATGACATAACCCAGAAACCAACCCAGCCATGGAAGTATCCAAAGTAAATAAGCCTACAAGATTGTAAACAGTGAACCAGAGACATCAACTGACAAATGAGGACAACTACAAACAAAAAGAGGGAAAAAACTGTCGTTACAGAACTTCTAGATGGTGGGGAAGTCAGGACAACTACAAGATAGAACACACTGTTCTAAACTTGGGAAGAAAACTATAAATCACAAGGTAACCTCAAAGAAAAATGATAAACCTTCATATCAAAAAAGAAGACCAGCATAAATATTCAGCAAATACTAAAACAGCAATGAAGGAAGTGGTAACACACATCATAAACAAAACAAGCTCAGCATAGAAAATTATATGGAACAAAGAAATCGACACTACAAAAAAGCCCATAGCAAAAATGATAGCAACAAATTCATATTTGCCAATAATTACATTTCTGGCAAGGGACTTAACTCTAAGATTTATAGTGGAAGAGTGGATGACCAAACTATGGTACATACACATAATGGAATGCTATGCAGCACTAAAGAATAATGTAGAGTCTGTAAAACACTGCATAATATGGATGAACTTGGAGGACATTATGCTGAGTGAAATAAGTCAATCACAGGACAAATACAGTATTAATTCGTTGTTGTAGAGGGTGAAGGAAAGGTTTATATATGGAAAGAAGCTTTCTTTGTTGGTTGCCAGGGGTGGGAGGCGAAGGAACGGGAGGGAAAACAGGAAAAAAAAATGCATTGACCCAAGTCACTTTAGTTTTGTGTATTTCACTGTACATAATTTATATTTCAATAAAATACATTTAAAAAAGTAATAATAAAAAGTCTTAGACATCAGCCTAAGGAGTCTAGACTAGAGGTAGCTGAGACCCACTGTGATGTTTAAGCTGAGAATGACAGATCAGCAGCTTAACGGAAGAATGAAGCATTAGTAGAATGCTTATGCAAATGCCAGAGTAATCACTTCCACAGCTTATTATTATTTCCTCTTGTTTTATGAGGGAAAAAAAAATCAACTTACTTTGCTGATGTGCTCAGGGGCTTGGTCAGGATTGTTGCTGAATTCCCCACCAATCTGGAGGTCACTGACACAGCAAATTGAATCTCTCAGTTCTGTGAGCTTTTGGCTGCCCAATACCAACATGGTCTGGTATGGTTTGTGTTCTTTGTGCTAAAAGTCAAAAAGTCAGTTTGCAATTAAAAAAAATATTTCTGTCAGAGCAGGACTGCATTAAGTTATTAGTTTTTAAAATTTAAGATACAGATTATAATCAAAATACTATTAACTGACATTAGCATTAACAATCTTTGGGCTGCAATTTCATCCCACCAAGTGGCTGGTGGGAATAAGATGACCTTTCGACAACTGGTAAGCAGCTGAATGCTTTAACCACTATGCCACCAGGGCTCACTTTAATTACAATATTTCTCATTAAAACAAGGAACTCAAAAACACAGGCTGTCAACCCTGAAAATTAGTTATCGTACAGATAGATCCACCTGCATTTGTTTGAGCCCGAAGGAATGGAATTCTTCAAACACTAGACCCTTTGACAAAAGTTAGTTTTTTATCTGTGAAATCCAAAAGGTTTCAACACTGACCTTCTGAAATATAACAGGGTATAAGATATTCAGAGATAGGATAAGCTCCCCCTCTTCAACCAGGTCTGCTGGGTTTTCAGGCCTCTTTCCTATAGCATGTGACTCCTGAGGGAGGAAAATGAATCAAACAAGACTGAGTCAGACACTGGGGCTCAGAGAGGCAGTGTGGTGCCAGAGCTATCAGAATGGGCTTCAGTCTAACAGGCCTGGGGGTTTGACTCCTACTTCTTATCTCAGACAAACTGTTAAACCTCTCTAAGCTTTAGTTTCAGCTTCTATTAAAAACAGAAAGAAGAAAAAACAACCAGAAAATACTCAATTTACAGAATCGTTGTTGGAAACATGTACAGAAAACATCTAATAAGATGCCTGACACTAACTGCTTAGTAATAGATAATAAAACAGGGAAATTAATGTTGACAGGTTGTCGTCGTTGTTAGGTGCCATTGACTCGTTTGTGCTTCACAGCAACCCTATGCAACAGAGCAGAACTGTCCCACAGGGTTTTCTTGGCTGCAATCTTTACAAAAGCAGACCTCCACATCAATCTTTTGCAGAGTTGCTGGGTGGGTTCACACCACCAACCTTTTGGTTAGCAACTGGGTATTTAACTGTGTGCCACCAGGGCTCTTTAATGTTGGCGTAACACTGGCACTTTACAGTTACTAACACTTTTACATACCTCATATTATGAAGCTATTCTACAGATGGAACTCAGATTAACCCAAGGTCACACCAGAGTTAAAATGCAAATATAGATGTTTGCTCTAAAACTCATGCTATTTTACAACATTATCATGTTTAATATGTCATACTTTTTCATATGCTCAGTAACTACAAAGTAAAGGTCATCAGAATGGGCTGCTTAGGAAATAAAGGTACAAAAGTTGGGCAAAAGATGCAAAATAAAGAAAGGTGCAAAACAACATAGATGTCCTTACATACTAACCGGTGCCCAGCACAACGAAAAGAAATTTTACTAAATGAACCCTTCACATCTACTAGCTCCTAATCCCTAAGGACTCATCAACTTAAACTGTACTAAGGGTTTTACACAGAGATAATGAATTAGGATTAAGAATATAGTAAGCCACTATCAGAAGTAGGGGGGAAAAAAAAAAAAAAGGCAACCAGGAGTAAGGTGGTAAAAAGGTATGGATTTGGCCTAATACTAAGAACAAGATTAAGTGAACAGAAAAAGCTAAAAGCAAAACAAACAAATCTGAAAAACACCCATTGCTGCTGAGTTAATTCCAAATCAGAGCAACCCTACAGTACAGAGTACAACTGCCCATAGGGTTTCCAAGTCTGTAAATCTTTACAGAAGCAGACTGCCTCATCTTTCTCCTGCAGAGCAGCTGGTGGGTTCTAACTGTCAATCTTTTAGTTAGCAGCGGAGTGCTTAACCACTGTACCACCAGTATCTGTTGTCAAATATATGGTCACTTGAATTCTGTATGTCTTTTTCTCCCTGTTGTTCCCAGCTCCAGTTAAGTTTTTCTGGTTTGTTTTCAACTAAGCATATCTGATATAAAGTGAACATTTAGTCATCACAAACACTCAACCAATGACAGAGAGGTTACTTGTTGTGGGGAAGGGGAAAAGATGAGACTTACCATCTCATAAGCAAATGTTTCTTGTCTGCACACCCGATCTATTGTTATGGTTTCTTCCCTATGTTCCATGAGCCTCTTTCTAAGCCTGTTGTAGATACAAGAAAAAAAAAAAAATTAAACGTTAATATTCTTTACTTTACCTTCAAAAACCCTAATTATTTTTTTCAACTTCTTATTTGAACTAATTTTAGATTTCTAGAAAAGCTACAAAAAATAGTCAAGCAGTCTCCTCTATCTCCCAGACAAGAGCAGGAAATTAACACTGACACAATGTTATTAACCCTGGACTCTATTTTGATTTCATAAATTTTTCCATTTAATGCCCATCTGCATCCCACACTGCATTTGTTATTTCTCCTTAGTCTCCTCCAGTCTGTTACAGTTCCTCAGTCTCTCAACTTTCATCATCTGGACACTTTTGAAGAGTTCCAATCAGTTATGTTGCAAATACCTCTCAAGTTGGGTTTATCTGCTATTTCCCCATAATTATAAGGATATGCTTCTTTTGGCAAGAATAGCACAAGAATGATATCCTTTCTCAGTATCACATCAAAGGGTTCACAATCTTAATACTTATTGGTTGAATCTCATAGGTGGTTATGTTTACCCTGGTTAAGGTCTTGCCTTCCTGGTTTCCCCACTAAAAAGTACTTGCTAAGTATCTTAGAGAAGATACTTGGAGACTATGTTCTCATCCTGTTTCCCCTCAAACTTGCACCCAGCAACTTAAACATTCATCAATGATTTTATCCACTGGAATTTATTATGAAGAAGCTGTCTTTTTCTCCCATTTATTTGTCTATCTATATTAGTATGAAGTTATGGGTATTTATTTTATGCTATAAGTTAAAGTCTAATATTATTTTATTTTGTTGTTCAAATTGTCCTAGCTTTGGCCATTAGGAGTTCCTTCGGTTAACTCTTGTTTTTTTAACAAGCTCTCATGTCATCTCATCGGGGGAGCTCTGGTAGCGTAGTTCTCAAGGCACTTGACTGCTAACCAGAAGGCTGGCACTTCAAACTCACCAGCCACTCCTCGGAAGGAAGATAGGGCAATCTACTTCCATAGTAATACTGCCTCGGAAACCCAAGGAAGGGTCGGTATGAGTCAGGTCCGACTCGATGGCACATAACAACAACAACATCAACAACATCTCATTGGGCATTATCCTGCCTTACTTTCCTCCCCTTTTCCCCTTACCCCCTATAGGCTACCAATCCTTCCCTATTCTTTTGTATGTACAAATAAGCAGATACCTATGTATTTTCTTATATTCTCTTCTATACCAGTCTAGGAGTCCCTTGGTAGCACAAACTGTTAAGCACTCAACTACTAACTGAAAGGTTGGTGGTTTGAATCCACCCAGAGGCATTTCAGGAAAAAGACCTAGAGATCTGCTTCCAAAGGCCACGGCCTTGAAAACTCTATGGAGCAGTTCTACTCTGCGAACATGGGGTCAACCATGAGTTGAAATCAACAGCCCTAGTAACATATATCTATCTGAGTTCAATTATGAAAGAAACCACACAGTAATCTGAATAGGGAGAATATAACATAAAGAATTACTAGCTTTAAAGGGAATTTACTATGAAGTGAAGAGGATTCTAAAGAATAGGAACAGAGATATAAGGAGTGCCCACTACTCCTAGGGCTGAGAGTCCAAGGAAGAGCTCTTCTTTTACCTCCAAGGACTGAGATCCAGATCCATAAGCCAGATATTGCTGGAGAGGGCATAGCTGTGACTGGCACTGAATGACAAAGTAGCTACTATGGTGTTCTACTGGTGGAACTTGCTGGAAAGCTACCCTCGAGGATGTAAAGGAAAGCTGTTCAAGGGAGGTGCTGAAAGGAGGTGGGTACTGCAGAAAGTTGCTAGCTGCTGCTGATTGCCATGTATTGCAGGAATTGGGTACTGGGAAAGCTGAGTTCCCTGCAGGAGCCTGTCAGGAAGCAAAATCTTTTCTCCTGCAACCCCCTGCAGGCTACCAAACCCTGTAGGCTTCCCGGTGCCTTTTACTGATAAAAGCTAATTCTGTGCCAAAGAAAAAACATTTTTTAGAGAGCACATAAAAAAGGTTTTGCAGATGAGATAACCAGCATACCTTCTCTCACGTGAAGGGTAATATACTATAGATATGTTTTGGGGCTTTGCTTTTCTCACTGAATTGTATGTCCTGGAAACCACTCTGAGTTCATCCTTCCTCATCCATTATTATAGCTATGTAGTACTCTACTACGTAGAGGTTTAATTGCGTCCAACATTTGCCTATGTACTGATATATTTAGGGCATTTCAAATATCGTGTTATTGCAAATACTGCTGCAATGATTAATCTCGTAGATAAGCATTTTAGTATTTTTGGAGGTGTGTCGACAGTGTAGACTGCAAGGACTGGGATTGCTGGGTCAAAAGGTAAGTGTGCATGTAATACTGTTAGGTATACCAGATTGTATTCTCATCAGCAATATATGAAACTGTCTGCTTCTCCATGGCCTCACAAAAAGAATGAGTTATCATTCTTTTAAATTTGTCCAAGTCTGACAGGTGAGAAAAACTATCTTAGTGTAGTTTTAATTTGCAATGCTCTAATTATGAGTGTGCTTCAGGTTTTCTTTCATGTTTGTGAGTCATTTTTAAGTATTTTTTGAGTGTAAAGTATTGGTTCATGTCTTTCTCCTATTTACCTATTGGATTTTTGGTCTTACCTTTCAACTTTAAAAAGTTCTCATATATTAGGAATATTAGGTCTTTGTGGTGGTACATATTGTAAATATTTCCTTCTAGTTTGGCACTCTGTGGTATTTTTTGCTGTGCAAAACTTTTTTATGCAGTTAATTTTATCTTTTCTTTTAATGCTTCTGTATTTCTGTCACAGTTAGAAAGCCACTCATGACACTGAAGTCATATAGCTTCATTTTCTACATTTCTATCCCTAATTTCTCTGCTGTTTATTCTTGTGCATGGTGTCAGCTAAATTTCCATATGTATTTGGAGCTAACTCTGGCCTTTCTATTCAATTCCACTAGTCTGTCTTGGAAACCCAAAGGTGGTTGCTATGAGTCGGAATTAACTCAATGAGGTTTTTTTTTTTTTTTCCTTGAGTCTTTCTATTCATAAGCTAGTACTCATTGTTTAGTACCCCATCTATTCTCTTCCCCAGTGCTTCCTTATATGTTTGTTTTTTCCACAGAACTTTAGTATCAACTTATCTAGGTCCATAAAATAACCTGTTGGCATTTTTATTAGGATTACATTGAATTAATAAATTACTTAGGAAGAATTACTATCTTTATAATGTTGAATTTCCCTATCCAAGAACAAGGGATGTCTTTCAATTTGTTCAAATCTTCTTCAATGTCTTTCAAGGATGTTTTAAAATCTTCTTCACATAAGTTTTGCATATTTCCTATTAAAGGTATTTCATCATCTTTGTGGCTATGGTATGTGGGATCTTTTCTACCATTATGTCCTCTAATTGTTCATTGTATTATGATGGTTACTGAATTTTGCATTAATTTTGTATCCTACTACTTCACTTCATTATTTTATTAACTTTAACACTAATTTCTTTGGGATTTTCCAGGAAAAGAACCACATGATTACCTCAATTGATGCAGAAAAGCCATTTAACAAAATCCAACACCCTATGGTGATAAATGGGAGTTCTGGTAGCGTAGTGCCTAAGGCATCTGATTGCTAACCAGAAGGCTGGCAGTTCAAAACCACCAGCCACTCCTCGGAAGGAAGATTGGGCAATCTACTTTCATAGTGATACCACCTCAGAAACCCAAGGAGGGTTGCCATGAGTTAGATCCGACTCAACGGCTGTGAGTTTGGTTTTTTTGTTTGTTTTGGTGTTTTGGTGATTAAAAACACTCAACAAACTAGGAACACAGAAGGAAATTCCTCAACATGATAAAAGGTATTTATGAAAAACCCACAGTTAACTCATAGTCAATGGTGAAAGCCTAAAAGCTTTCCCCCTAAGATCAGGAACAAGACAAGGATGCCTGCTTTCATCATTGATATTCAACACTGTACTGGAAGTCCTAGTCAGAGTGATTAGGCAACAAAAAAGGAATAAAAGGTATCCAAATTGGAAAACAGTAAGTAAAACTATATCTACTTGCAAATGACATGATCCTACATATAGAAATATCCTAAAAGAAAGAATTCATAGAAAGTTACTAAAAAACCATCATGGGAGAAAGAAGGGCTGCTTATGCATAGGAAGACTGCTCAGGAGGCAGGAGTGCATGGAGGGATGGACACAGGGAAGAGGTAACTATCAGGAGGAAGTGGGAGGGGAGCTGTTCCATTGTGGTAAACTGTGGTCAATGTCATGAGACAAAGTGTATGTGAACTGCAGTATGGAAAGTGAATTTGCTCTGTAAATTTTCACCCAAATCACAATTGGAAAAAAAAAAAAAGAAAGTTACTAAAAAGCCAAAACCAAATACACTGCCACTGTGTCAGATTCGACTCAGAGCAACCCCTCCTTGGGTTTCTGAGGCGCTATCACTATGAAAGTAGATTGCCCGACCTTCCTTCTGAGGAGTGGCTGGTGGGTTTGAACCTCCAGCCTTCTGGTTAGCAGTCAAATGCTTTAGGCACTACGCCACCAGAGCTCCTAAGAAAGTTACTAGAGCCAAGTAAATGAATTCAGTAAAAGGGAAGGTACAAGATCAACTCACAAAAACCAGTTGTTTCTATACACAAACAATAAATAAGCTGAAAATTTTAAAAATATATATATATATATTTACAATAGCACTTAAAATAATAAAATACCTAAGGATACATTTGACCAGAGGGTAAAGACTTGAGAACCGAAAACTATAAAATCTTCCTGAAAAAAATTAAAGGAAACCAAAAAAATGGAAAGGCATCCAGTGTTTATGCACTGGAAGACTGAATACTGTTAAAATGTCAATACTACCCCAAATAACTTACAGATTCAATATAATCCCTACCAAAATTCCAACAACTTTTTTATGAAAATGGAAATGGTGATCCTCAGTCACATGGAATCGTAAAGGTCCCTTAACAGCCAAAACAATCTTGAAAAAGAACAAAATGGAGGA